TGGAATCTGGAAAACTTTACTGAAAAGCAAAGAACGCTGTTTATTATCTGTAGTTTACTATTGTTTTGGATGATTTATATGTGGGTTTTATGAAGAGAGCACCACTTACTGTAAATGACTATAGGATGTATGATGAAAGACTATAGACTTTCATTAGACAATCAGATCAAACTATCCACTCAGATGCTTTATGGGCCCACATAACAGGAGAGAGAGAGACTGACTGAGAAAGATAAAGAGACACAGCGAGAGGGAGAGAAAAGCCAGACTCAGACCCTCCTATACGTGACCAGACTAGTGATGCTGTGATGAATTACCGGTAAAGCTCCAAGAGAAAAACTCTTCCTTTACTCCACCAGTCCGTGTTGTGAGAAACAGGCCACAGCATAAGAAATGGGGGGGGGGGGAAATGTCACACAGACAATATATGCCCACTCAACCAGCACACAGCATCCATTTAAAAACACATCTATTCAAAGTGCCCCTGCATATGCTGCCAATACTCTGCACTCCCTTGCAGAACATAACTGCCATAGTGCCCAAACGTTCAATAAATTACGCTTTCAAGCAGGGGACGTCCGGGATCACAGGTGGGCCGCCACATCTTCTTGCGCTGCCATGCAAACAATGGTCAGAGGATATGTTTCACAATCAATCACGTCCATACTCACTCTCACTGTGACATTTTTATTTAAGGAAATTCTTAAAAGCGGCGTACATCTGCTTGACCTGATGGACTGCCGTTGAGTCCCAGTAGGAGAGAGTATGAAACGTGTTCCCCACATGGCAAATAGCAGTTGGCATGTACACACATTCACATACAAATATACACACTTTCATGGTTTTATGCATACATATACACCATTGCACCACGATCTAGCAGTGGATCATCTAAGGTAAATAATAAAAATAATATGTGCTGCAGTAAACCTAAACTTAATTCTCAGGAGCCCCAACATGAAAAATGTATCACTCTCTTTGAAAACACAAAAACAAAAGTTGAGGCATTCATCTTCACAAAAAATGAAACATGCTCATATTGCTATAACTCCCATCGGAAACTGGAGAAAACAGCCCCTGGGCTTAAAAAGCTGTTCCGAAGAAGCTGCACTCGCTCTCAGGTGAGTCAACCTAACAGCCAATCAATATACAGTATATCCAGTGTTCTCTACTCTCCTGCAACAGCTCTTTATCTCTTTCTAACTCACTCACAAACAGACATGCTCCCTCCACGGGCTGGGGACAAGCTGACACATATCAGCACTGCAGGCATAATCCATATGCTTGCTAAATGTCAGTGTCTCAAGTCTGTAAGGTATAAGGTTAAAACAGAGAGGACAAAGGATGGGAGGCAACCTAGAGGTATCAAAAACGCGTTGGGCTCTCAGATCTCCTAACAGGAAAAAAAAAAGAGTTGCATTTACGCAGGATGCTTTGTGTTGTCAGCAAAGGCTTGGATGAAGAAAAAAAAGATACCCCTCAAGGGAAATGGAGTTTGCAAAAGTTACTAGAACGGAAAACGAAGACATAAGTTGTGTTTGGGAACACTTTCTGTAAAATGGTGCAATCATTGAACTGTGATGCGGCAATTTTTTCAACAGAATGGCTCTTTTTTTTTTAGAGCCTAGGGGAGTAATGGCAATATTCTGAGTGGTTTCAACTTCAGTTTCAGGCAAGTTATACTCTATTTATAGTATCCAAGGTGTTGCAAGAGTTGCTTTCAACATCTCAAGGGAGCACTACTGGTGGATCAAAATGTATTATGGCCCTTTGCAAAACAATTGAGCGCCAAAGACAATTAAAAGTCAAATAGATGTGAGCTCCACTTAGTAGCAAGCGGGCGAATGAGCATCTGGCAATTGGCGAGCGTCAGGCGTTATTTACATTGCCACAAAGTGGATGGTGATGAGGAAGAAAATCAATGTGGATGCAAACAGTGTAATGGCAGAGTAATGTGTTCCCCTGGGCGAGCAACAACAAAGAAGTCCTGTCAGGGGTGATGCAGAGTAGAGGCCGTATTCAGTTGTATTCAGTTGCCTGTTTTTACCAGCCCTTCCCACTGCCACATTCAATCCACATGCACATCTCAACTCCTGGAGTCAGTCTTCAAGGCTGCCTTCTCCGGCTGCCTCTTCAGAATGCTAACTCTGCAGGGCCGCCAATCAAAGCAGTGGATGGTATGGTAAACAAGAATGTAAGGGAACAGGATCAGATTCACATATGCACGGGGTGACGTTTTGGATGGTGATTGATGTTGTTTATCCTGGGTCATTCTCTTCCTCTCAAAATACACACATCCAGACAACAAGAGAGCTGGGAGCATGGTAACTTGACCTGCTTTTGTTTGAGCTGTTGTGGATTGATCAGGGATTCATGGTTTTGACCCTGATCCCTGGCCTCTCTTCCCCTATTGGACCACTCAACCTGTCCGTCAGGTATCAATCAATACTGCTCATAGAGCTCCCCACAGTTTGATTCAAGCAGCCAGTAGGATTCCAACACTATATAGACTCTACGGCTGTGAAATAAGAGCACACGGACACCTACATTCCTGCCATTTGATCAGGCCACAAGGATATACCAGTTTGTGCTTTCTAACTTCAGATACGAGACATTACCCCTGAAAGCAACAAATAAAGGGTTTGATATGAGAAAAAAAACAAGAATCCAGGTTTAAGTTATATGTCTTTCTGACAGAAAGTTTATGCTTATTTATTTGTACCATCATCCTAATGAGATAATACTTTGATCCTGGCCTGGATTGTAAACTCTAATTCACAGTTAATAGTAGACCTGAAATAAAGAAACCAAACTTTAAACATAAAGACAAATTAGTCCTGTAAAAACCAGTGTGATTAAATCACAGACCAGTCCAATTATATGGTGAGAGAGAGAAGAGAGAGGGAGAGAGAGAGAGAGCTTCCTCTAGCGCCACTGAGTAGAGGGCTCACTGAGCCATTAACTGAGAAGATGTGTGTTTTGGGTCAGCACCATCATAGCACTCCTCCTGACCTCTCTAATTGGCCACCAGCTGGGAGGTTGTTCGCCCTCCACCCATCTATCACTCCCAAGTCCATCCTCCCCTCCAAAGGTCCAGCCCTTCCCCACACTTCTTGCCTCCGGTGTCCGCTGATTCTCACTTCCTGACCCTGTCACCCCCTTTGTCTGTCCTTACTCCTCCCTGCTAACTTTAAAATGATAGATACACAACCATTAAGAAACTTCAGAGATGAAGTTAAAGTCTTGAAAATAGACTGTTCAGTTATTTATGATTTGTAAGAAAACCACCAACAGTTTTGAAGTCAGTACTTTGTGCGTAAAACCCAGCGTGTTTTGAAAAAACAATGAAACAATAGAGGCAAGTCAGCATGTCTGCACCATGTCCTCTGTCCCACATGCTGCCTTTTCCTTGCAATGTGCACGATCAACTGTGACTTGCACTCTGCATCGCTTGCCAATATTCCTTCTCCCTCTTCACTTTCTTTCCACTGTTTTCCCTTGCTCTTTAAGACAGTGCAGCCATGCTGCAGGTGCCCCACTATAGGTGCCCCCGGCAACAATCGGCACACAGATGACAGAATCAGTAGAGATTTGGATGCCCGATACGACAACAGAGAACAAATCAAAGTTCGGGACAAGAAGCTAATGAATTCGTAAAATGTGCAAAACAAGCAAAGTCGGGGTGCAGACTGTGGGAGTCTGGGAAGCAATCAACTCTCGGTTGACCAAGCAGAAATTTCAAAGAGACTTCAATATCAGGCTACAAGGCACAATTCTCCGTTTTAAGACCACTCAGAGTCAATCAAGTTCCTCCCGGGAAGTGTTTTTCCTTAACTACTGAGTAAATGAGTGAAACTGACACAAGTTTCCAGGGGCCATCTCACTCCAAGATGACTTGTCATATATTCTTTCGGAACCCTTTTCCTCTATCAACAGTCCTTTATCCCTCTGTCTTTCTCTGTGTGTTTCAACTGTTTAATAGCTCAGCCGAGGCTACCCCTCGTCCCTTCCTGCCAACTGCCTGTGGCTGTAACTTCAAAGTCTCTTTCTTTGCTTGTTTATCCACACCGCCTGTCTCCTACAAGTTACTGAAACTAAACCTGCATTTTTATAAGACAAAGAAAGTGCAGTGGCTTTTTTCTGGTTTGTAACAACTGCATCCATTCACCTGTATGCAACAACTGTATATTTGTCAAGCTAACATTAGCCTTGTGAGTGAGTGAGGGACAAAGTGGCAGAGAGAGTGTGAATGAGTACATCTGTTTACACAAGTTCTTATAGAGTGCCAGCACAAATATACAAAAGTCTGGCTGGAAGTGTGCACATGTCCATTTGTGCCCATATGGGCTCAACTGTGTGTGTGTGTGTGTAGGTGTGTGTGTGTGTGTGGGAGGGGGGGGGGGTGAAACAACACTATACGTCTGGCGGTGGTAATCAAGCTCACTAATTACTTCCTGAGCTGAGAGAGTTGTCAGAGAGAGGAGGAGCTGCCACAGATGGTGAGAGACCCACACTGACACCAGGATATCCTACCTCTTCATCATTAGAGCTGAGCATGTGTGTTTGTGTGAGACTGAGTTATTGAGAGAAGGAGTGAGGGTGTGTGACCAAGATTGAGTGTTCAAATTACAGTTGAAAACCACAGACCACATGACACGCCACGAAGGGTAAAATGCTGAAAACTAGATAATAAACAAATACTTCATCCTTCTATATATTATGTTCATTTCAATGATAGTAACAGTAGTACTTGATGATGTTTTACCTTGGTGTTTGAATCAATGCCTGCTCTTCTGCTATCCCCCAGAGACATTTCAGACAGCTATGTATCTAGATACAGTCACTTTAAGCTGGCTAAGATCTAATGAACCTAGTCAAATTCCATTTCCTTAATCTGCAAAAATGCCTGTCGGCAGGTTGTGTACCAGTGGACTCCCCTTCCCTTCCTGTCCAAAGCTCAGCTCGCTCTCCAGACAAATTGCTAGGGACTGACTACTCACCACTGTGAAGAGCCATCAGTGCCGCTGACCTCGAGCAGGTCATAGTCGTCCTCCAGCTGAAAGTCAGAGAATACCAGGGCAATGGTGTCTCCTGGCTCGGCCAGCACAGTCCAGGTGCAGTCGGCATTGTTGTTGTACTCGGTTGGGTAATTGGGGGTGGTGATCACCCCACTCTGGCCCCTCAGTGTCCCGCCACAGCCATCATCTGCTGCAGGGAGCACAGGAGAGAGAAAGGGCTGAAAAGCTATGTAAAGGAGGGAAATGTAAACACAAATAATGACAGACTTGTGTTGCAGGGATAACTGAAGACGTACAGACAAACAGAACCAGTATGAGTGGCAAGGTAGTAAAAGGCTAATAAACACAACCTGCAGCTTCACTTCAGCTAAAAGTCAGGTTTGACCCATAAGCAGTCATATCAAATTCTAACTGGCTATTGTAAGCTCATACCTAATCAGTACCATAGTGGCCCAACTATAAAAGGCCACGGATTAAATGAACACTCAATTTTTATGACAGAGCATACTCAAACACTGACCCACGATGCAACACTCTCTTGAAGCAACAAGCTCACTTTGTAACACAAGAGCTAAAACTTCCTCCACTGAAAGAGACCGTCCGATGGTACATTATATCATAACAAACAACATTATATCATTTTCCAGAATTTCCAAACAGAAATACATTGTCTGTATTATGGACAATGCAGGCATTACACACATGTATACAATGTCAAAATTAATAATTTAATTGGACAGATAGAGATAAAGCTCAATTATTATCACGCTAATAAACCACTTTGCTGCTCCAACATATCGAGATGGCAGATATGCTGATGACTGATGAGGCAGATGTAATGATTCAGCAAGAGAAGTCTTTCAAACTATGTCACATAGGCTAATTTAAGTGGGTGGACTTTTACCAGGATCCTTTTGTGCTTTATAAATATGTATTATTTTTACATTTTTTTAAGGCCGCAAATTATCTTTTAGCCACTAGCCAAAGTGCAGATTTTCAAATTCAGGAGCATGAAAATGTGCAATGACTTACAGCATATTGTTCCTTTGTCTGCAATTTTTGCCATAGGCCAGAGAGACACCAGTCACAGGATTTCAAAACACCCTAGAGTGTTTACCATCAGCACAGAGCAGGGTAGAGTGTGTGATGCAACCTAATGCAATTAGGGGGGGGAGTGATTAAAGTTGTATTAATTCAGATTTATATAAATCAACACAACTCTTCCATCCTCAAAACTGCTTTAAGGAGATCATTAAATAACAAAGCATTCATTTAATACGTTGCCAGGACATCTCCCCTTCCAAGCTTTTGATATGTTCATTACAGCTTTAAACAAAAGAGTATCATGTGCTATCTGCGTTGCAATTCCTGTGGAAATATTTGAATACTTTAAAATATTGTGTGCATACGTCACTTCAGTATGTACCGGGGGAAAAAGGAGACACGTCAAAATGAGTTTTCAATGACCCGAAATGTCTATTGGTGCGCCTCAGTACCGGGGTGGCGTGGGATTCATTTGTGGGCGGCCATCTAGCTGTGTGTGAGGTGTTTCAAAGGGGGGGGGGGGGGAGGAGCTCAGAAGCGCCAGGCCCTGTCTATCATCCATCCTACCTGTCACCACGGCAACCCCCCTAAGGGAGGGCAGGCGAGTGTACGGGCGAGCGGAAACTTGTGAGGTGTGAACTTGAATAGGAGGGAAACCACGGCAGAAGGGCAAGAAGAAGGGGATGAAGAGGATGACAGGTGACAAGCGAGGATGGGCGAGACAAAAAAGTGCAGAGGGAGGGTGGACGACGAGGACAGAGAGATGGCGAGAGGGGTGACAGGTGATTGTTGCAGTGGGAGTGACAGGAAGTAGAAGGTAGACAGACGAAAGGATGAGGAAGTGCATTGATATTCCACACAAGATGGTTTCTTCACACTTGAAGGGATGTCTCTGACACTCCCCTTCACCTTGACTCTCTCTGTTGCTCCATTCTTTGGCTGCCGCTTGCCGATGCAAGTGCTCTGTGACGATGGAAACTTAAATGGCTCTACCATGGACCGCATGAAACCCCCCCAAAAAAAGTGCAATATGTGAGGTGTGCAAACTTATCAAATCAGTAAATTGTAGATGTCATGATGTTTCCCAACAGTACATATTTTCAGGCTGTTGTGTAAAAGTGGAAGCATATATGGATGTGGAAGCATAAGCAATGCATGCAAGCTATAAAAGCATTCATGCCATCAAAAAGGCATGTTTATACGCACCAAAGATTCACACAGCTATGGCTTTAAAACTATATCTGAGATTGTAAATGGAACAACTAAATGTGACACAATACCACTCAAATTCAGAGTGCCTTTGTACTAGGTAGAATAAAGCTTGTGCACAAACCAAAGATAAATAAGCGTGTGTGATACTGTAGTAATAGGCAGTGACATTTAGAAAGATATGCTTCGGGGTTAAGAGAGAGTGTCAGGAGCTGAATAAAAGAGTGATGTTTAATCACTTCTAAGTATCCTCATGACAAGTGATGTAGTTTTTAAGATTATAGCTAAGCGACCAAATTGCTGACTATAAGACACGTAAAACATTATCTGTGCCATCAATGTCTGGCTACCATTGTATGGCTCGACAGCACTGGCACGTTTGCCCTCTCCTTAGTTCAGAATGGCGACCGCGCTAAAGTGTTCTCCCCTGCTCCCAAAGTACAGCGTCACATATGTGCTTTTACACATGTGGGCAGGGTCTATAATTAAGGTGACATTAATTATACACTCATGCATTATGAAAGAGCACTCGGGTGTAAACGTATAATTTTGTGTGGCACTGGGACACCATAATTAATCACTGGGAAAATTGCTTGTTTCTAAAACTTGTTGCCATTTAATTTCTGCTGAAAAGGTAGCATAATCACATCCTTTAGATACACACGTCCATAAAAGAGCTTAGTTTAGATCTGCACAGCAAATTGTCAGTGAATTATGGAGAAAAAGAGAGGGAGGGGAGATGAGTTCTTCACAATTTTATATAAAATTGCAAAAAAAAAACAGATTGCAAAATGTGCACATAACAATTTCACATTTGGGTGTGAAGTACAGGCATGTGCATGTGTCTGTATGTGATTGGGTAGGTGGGGACTGTGCTGGCGTGTTGTGCCCAGCCATGTGGGCTCCTATGTGGGCTTCCTGACTCCCAGCCTGGTTGCAGATGGCACTGTGTCTCAGCGCTCTGCTCAGCATGCACACCGACATAAACCATTGGCCACATGGACACAGCAAATGGACATACACGGAAAATGCAAACTGTCACGTGTATGACATGTGGTTGCATATGAATTGCAAAGAAAATAATTCTGAAAAATGGTGTACAATAGCATCACATTTGCCTAGAGTGAGCCATTTACTAGAGCAGTGTCATGCTAGGTCAGACAACACACACTGGCAGGTGTCGCTGCCGCAGGGGTGCTTGCTAACTTTGAGGAGAGGACAACTGGCATAAGCACCAGACTGGGAGCTAACGCATGAGGTCCTGTCATGGTAAATGAGATATCAGTGTAACAGCAAAGAAATGTTATCAGGTCATGTGAAGGCATGTGCAAATGCATGCAAGTGTGTGTGTGGGCTGGAGGAAAGGTTTCACCAATTAGTGAATAAAAACACTGTTTGTTTTTGAAATGTGGAGCAATCAACCTTTTCAGAGAGTTAATCGATAAAATCTCATGTTTAATGTTTAATTTTTAAATGATGGAAGGAATATCTTCGTGCATGTTCATTAGGACATATGGACCAGCCATTCCGTTGTTAGTTGGTATTACCCTTTAATCCAGCTTTACAGTTGATGCCAAAATAACCTCCCTATGTTTTATATTTGTAATAACTTTAGTAATTATTCAAATATTAATCAAAATCAATTTGATTATCTGTGGCATATTTATGAGTTTAAATTAGATGTGATTAAAACATTTACTTTGTGGACAAAAGGTATTCCAGATTTAGCCTGGGGGACCTGTTGTGATTGACAGTTTCCCACTGACCCTTCTACATACCTCTGCAGTAGGGAAGGGGGAAATCCCATGCAGCAGTACCCGCTGAAGTGGCAAGGCAGGACAGGGTGGTGTGACCCTCCAGCACATAGCCCGGGCTGCAGCTGTAGCGGATTTTGTCCCCAATGTTGAACGTGGACCCCTGCTGGTGGCCATTGAGCAGCTGTCCAGGATTACCACAAGTGTAGCTGGGCAGAGCTGGAGAGAGAGAGAGAGAGAGAGAGAGAGAGAGAGAGAGAGAGAGAGAGCGAGAGAGAGAGAGGGGAGAGAATAGATAGTTTATGAGGCAGTCTGTGGCACTGCGTCATGTTAGTACAAGAGCCAGAAAATCAAGGGAAAAGTACAGAAAGAATCTGGTGGCGACAATCAGTGCCACAAATCAGACGAAGTTATGGAAAGTTACCAAGATATGTAACACAACACTATTATTTAACACACTTTATAACAACTGAAGACTAAATTAATTTCTCCCTGAAGTGCTTCAAATAGCTATATAATTCACTTAGTCGCTCATGGATGCCATGTTGACCATCTCGGCTTGTTCAATCATGTTCCTGTATCATGCAAATAAGCGAGAGGGCCCAGTATTGAGAGAACCTCGTCTAATTGTGTGTTACTATGCAAATCAAGTTCAAATAAAGTCCAATCTCTTGCTCCTGCACCTCCTCTTGCTCCAGTCTTGCAGTCTTGCAGTTAAAAGTGTGCGGTTGTAGCTTCTGTTCTCCTTGGTGACATACAGTAGAACGCCCAAGCTTGGAGTATAAATAAACCTGCCATAACCAAAAATCTATTACTCACACACACTAACACAACTCTGTCATTCAGTTTACAGCCCCAGTCACACACTCCCACACAGTGAGGGAGGTGGCCAGAGCATTTGCTGGACTTTGGATGAAACTCAGTCTCTCCACAGGGACCGGACTGAACTCCGGAGAGGACAGAATGGCTCTTACACAGCAACACAGCTTACTGGCACCTCAACGTCACACTCAATCCACACTTGCTTTTTCTATACTAAATATTACAATAGTTTAAAGGCTATTAGTTTGTTTTGGCTGCACTGTGTTTGGTCCAACTTTAATCTTAACAGGATTTAAAGCTCTATGTTGAGTTTAGAAAATTTTTATTTTTTTTTTAATGTAAGCAAAACTCAGCACAAAACTAAATGACATATTAGGATGCTTGGCGTTGTCTTCGCAATAGTCATTTTTGTATCTTTTCACACAACATGCTGTGTTAATTTCAAGTTTGAAATAAAATTTAAAAAAAAGTTTTGTTTCTTTCTCTTTTTCCCTTTCTAGCACAGTAAGTTAAGACTTCCTTACAGCAAGGTCTAGCAAGGTTGGATCAATATTTGTATCCAACAGTGCATTCCACAGGGCATGAGCTGTGGAATTAACTGGCTGGTAAATAAATAGAATGCAAAGAGTTTGTGTCCAGCCCACCATCGGACAACAAACATGACCTCTAAGTGCTTGATTTCGGGTGTGTGTATGTGTGTGTGTGTGTACACCTCACAAAGGTTACGTTAGCTGTGAAGCTGCATGTTATGAGACAGCGCAAGGCTTTAGTGATGCTATCTCACAGCCTAGATATGAATTCTGATTGTTTGGTTTTTAATATTTGGAAGTAGATATTCATAGATGGCGTGTTGAGGGGTTTGCAGATGGCAGATATGTTCAAAACAAAGGCAATGTACTGTTGTCTCACTCATACACAATGTCAGTCTCAATATTAGGAAAAAGTCATGATTGACTGAGAGAATACAAATTGATTTACACATTAAACGTCTGGAAAAAAGTTGTCTCATACAGTATTTGTATTCCATAAGTTATTTAAAAATATTGAATGTAAATGAACGTATTCAAATGTGTGGGTGTAGATGGATTTTGGAGGTAAACAGACAAAGTGACTTTATTTCACAAATACTGTTTCAGCATTGTTGGCCAATGGCGAAACATACCGGCCAAATCCTTCTTGTCACGCATTTACCTACTTTTTCTAAAGATGCTCTGAAAGGGTAAAGTCAGCAGTGACTCACTTAGGGCAGCTGCATGTTGGACTTCTCGATACATCAGTGACTTCAAAGCAGGCGTTTTCCATCATCTATTAAAGGTAGAACACCTTTTCAAACATCAAGGATTCCGCCCTTAATGACTCAATGCTTTATATCTTTTGCAGTACCTGGTTACTACTTGGGTACTCTCCCTCTGGCGTAATGCTATACACTGATGGCAGACTGACTTGTCACTTTCAGGCTCCACTGTGCCATAGCCTTTATTTTGACCAGCCAAGGCCACCTTATTACAGCCTCCCCTCCATCACTATACCACATTAGCATATACGCAAGGCCTCTGTCTGATTAGCATACAGTCTTAGCTATCGGGACTCAGGCGTCGGTGATGCTGCATGGCCATAGGGGCCCCTGGTGCAATGCAAGTAACGGCTTCATCCCTGCGGTTATGAACATGAAAGGCTGGATCAACGTAGCTCTTGTGTCACAAAAGTTTGATTTAAGAGATTGAAAAAGAGGCGGGTCAGTTCAGACAGAAGGTTGGAGTGAGGTCCAGGAATAGATAACTTTGTCACAGCAGACGTTTTGACTTGTGCCAGTGCCGGCGCCCTCATATTGTACATGCTGGCATACCGGCATGGATTACTGGCACGCCTAAATGGACCGGTGCCATCATTAATGATATTAGTGACACCTGTGCTTTTCCTGCTATGATAAGTCAAAATGTGTTGCTTTGAGAACAGCCTAATTTTGTGGAGAAACAAAAAAAACAAACTGATAAAGACAATGGATGTGTGAAAAAGAGGAAGTGTATGCAAGGCTGGGAGAATGACGGGGGAAACGTGTGTGTAAGAGAGAAAGCCTCATTGCATTAGAACTGATTGAAGGGACGGCACTGTCAGACTTTAAATGTGTATGTTTTGACATACGTACATGTGCTGTATGTGAGCGTTTGTGTGTGTGTGATTTTCTCATCACACTTCAGGTTATTAGTTTGGGCAGTAAATTAAGTCTAAAAGCGCCATTATTGGGGCAATCCCCAGAAAAGGGCTATGCCTGGATCACTGAAGCAGCAAATACTCTCTTTATTCCCACAATGTGAATTTACCAATAAACATCAACAGTAAAAAAACATTGACAGTATTTGATAAAGTGCATCGATGCAGCGACGCTCGAGCACAAAAGACCCGAAAATGTAGGGTTGATTTTTTTCTTTCCCAGCTTTCTTCCGACACAATTATTTCCCCCCAAAACTGACTTGAAAGTGGTAGAATTTTGATGCAGTCAAAAATACAATTCATGAAAAGGTAATGTCTCTCTTTACGTACAATAAAGCAGGATAACCTGCTGAGAGCTAAGTATCTTTATAGCCAACATCAGGAATCCAAGGCACGTGTGCATGAAAATGAAAAATAATAAAAGAAAATGTTGAACTGTGCTCTTTAAACTTATTTATCAAAATGTATTTCTTCCTGCAGGCTAAATCTTAAACAGAGAAAGAGAATGAAAAGTGAGATGGAGAGGAAGAGAGACAAAAAAACCACGGAGCTTGGGAGAAATAATGAGAAAACAATTTTTAATATTTGCAAGATGACTTCACATTACTCTACATTAATTTCCTCCCCTGCACACGCTTTCATACATCAGAATTATTTCACAAATGATTCTGCAAGCTTTACAGCCTTCATGGGAAAACGTTCTGTTTTTAGAACAGAAAGGTGGGTTTTCTTCCAGGGGGTCTGGCTTCTGTCATCACGTGGACTGTTATATCTCAATTCCCCCCACACCAGAACCCGCAACATCATCCCTTTGGTGTTTGTCATGGCAGGTCCATAAGTCACGAGGATGGGAGACTGTGACATGGCCCATCCCTGGGGGCCCGAATGCTTTAAGCACTTCCACTGCTGAAACGGCACAGGATGTTCCTCGTCCATCAAAGCATTACTCTCTACTGCGCACACTGGCTAACAGTAAAAGCGTATGAAGTGTGAACAAACCACATGTGCACACGCATACACACTGAGATCAAGGAGCCATGCCATCCATCACTTGCATCATCTGCTTACATTCCTTTATTCCTTCCAATCTCTCTTCATACCCTCTCATTCGAGGTGAATAGGACAAGGGACAGTGGGGAAGGAGAAGATATGAAGAGCATCTCCTGTAGGATGACATTTGACCCCAATAAGAGTGATGCTTCCTGGGCGTCTTCAAGCCTTGTTCCTCAATGTGTCACCCTCTCCTCAGGAAAAGGGAATAGTAGTAGTATACCCTTGAATATTGTAAAATCCATTTGTTGAAAAAAGCTTATGCTGCAAAATAAAGAGATTGTTCATTTCTTAGCACTTTGTATCAAACGGTTTTGTATAAGGAAGTCTTGCCATCTTAAATAGATCGATAAATACAATTACTGCAAATGGTGGACGATAAGATAGTAGAAGAATGGAAAATTGTATTTCTCTTCGACGTTCAAGAACATATTTATTATTATTCATGTCTTTTTGTGTCTTTTAAGTTATAATACTGTAGTTGAAGTTAATCAGAATTAATATACTGAGGTTACGGAAAGGGCAAGAACAAAAGGAGAGAGAAAGTCTGTGAGCTACAGAGGAAAACGTGTAGATGACAGTTGGAGAGACAATCCTATTGTATTACAGTTTATCCACCATCACTGTCTGGAGTGGAGTGAACAGCTGCAGAATATGCAGCTTTGGGAGAAAAAGCAGTCATCAATAGGTAGATGCTACACTCGGCAGCATCCGACTCTAACTTAGTCCGCAACATAAGAAAGCAGGACACACGAAAGACGACATGACCATACAGCGACTCACATTTTGGCGGGAGTTTAATTAAGAAATCCAACCCAGTTTCACTACAGATTGAATGTTTGCCTTCAACTCTCAGTAGGTATTTATGTTCCGACATCACTCTTTCCCATCTGGACATGTTCCTTTTCTCACGTCTTCCTGCTGTGCATTTGTAAGTCACATTGCGAGATCGATCCCTACACACAGGTGCATTAGCTCAATAAGCAGTTTCTGCTTTGTCAAGCAGCAGTTCAATCAATGCCTCCTGTTCCTTACACATGGGCTGAACAGAAGCTGGGAACTCCCATCACTTCTGCTTAGAGAGGCTGAGGAATGCAAAAATCAACTCTCCTTTTGATCCAAGAAATAGATAGCAT